TGCCCTTCACTGACTCCATCGCGATAAAAGATGATCCTCTGAGGTTTATGTCTCGTCGACTGATAAAACTGAACAAGAAGCTCACGAACCATGGCTCCTAATTCTGCGATGATCTCCTGCCAAGAAACATAACGTTAGAGACTGGAAACTGCCCTGGGTTAGCGTACAGAGCGCGTCCCTCTCGATATTTCGAGGTCGTAGGTTTTGCGCAACTCGGGAGGAACTTTGCGCACCTGCAATAACATTTGCGTAGAAACGTAGTGACCTATAGTTTGTTAATGCATACGCAAACTGCTTAAGACAAGGCCACTCTTTCTACCTTAAACTCAATTGTGTCATCTCTCCGTCCCAATGTTTCAACAAATACTGAACAGTGACTGTGCTGCTTTTACTATATTTTGGCTTTCATACATACTTAATTATTGTACTACTTTYTCGTGGGATTCTACCAGMTCATTAGATACACCGTGCTGACGAGGCCCAATACAGGCCAAAACAGCTGTCCACGGTTCAGTTCTAGTTGAGCTGGCTCATTTTTACGCGACTTTTACGCGACTTAAAGTTGTGAAAGGACCATTGGCCCTCTTCTTCAGTCTTTTCATCTAAGGCTCGTAATTTACCTATTACGCATGTTCTTATTTAAAAGATTTAGAAATAACGCAACATCCCTTCTATCGCGTTTTATGAATGTTCAGCCGCGCGCCTCGATTTTGATTGAATATCCGAGCTGAGAATCACTGTTAGACCCAACACAAAGAGTTCGTGCGCAGTTTTACCTGTCTGTGAGTCTGGACACGAACTGAAGCGTAGTAACGAGAAGGATGAGCATCCATGCTTCCAACAACCTGAAAGACGTAACATTTATATACATTAATAAACCATTTAATATGTTATTAGTTCCAAGATGTATAGCAGAAAGAGAGTTACCCTATAGTTAAAAAACAGAGTCTCGATGCATTAACTGCCGGGATCCCTCTTACTCACCGCGGCGATAGAAGGTCTCTTTTCATCACCTGCAGCAGGATGTGTGACGTCAGCGCCTAAAAATATCACGGGCTCACGAAATACGGGWGGACTGGAAATAGAAAATGTCATGGAAACGTCAGTCAGTGGAGGTCAGTGGTATATGTCGCCGCGTTGCAGCAGTCAGTAAGAGAAGTGAAATCAAATTCTACTGTACTACAAATTGGGCAACAATTTGAGACATTGCCGCCAAGGCATTGCGCGAGGTAAAAACTCTACTTATTTATTTTATTTATTTATTTATAGGTTTTCATCACGATTGACTTACAAAGGACAACAAACAAAAAAGGAATACGAAAGCAAACAAGCATGATGAGAGGCGGGCGAAGGGACTCGAGGTCCTGGCAAGGTGCGCACTCTATTATTTGCAACAATGGAACTTTGTTGCGAGTGGAGTATTAATACGAGCAACATTTGCTCTGCATACGTTGCACGACAAGTTTGCGCGATTTTTTGCCCGTATTACCTCACCTTTAGATAGTGCACTTGTGATATTCTTAGGTCAAAAAGCCTTATTAACGCTAAAATGGCGATGATACACAACGTAGTCCATCTAAAAACCTAGTAGGAGATGAATGTTGTTTATTTAAAGAATACCTACCGTATTTCTGGCGATAATATGTTATTGATGCCACCCAACTTAGCATTGATCTTCAGGCAGAGGTTTGAGATTGTCTGAGCTGAGATCTTGTTGACATTYTTGATCTGTATGCACTGCGTGACCACTCCTAATAATGTGTCACCGATTCGTTTTACTTCAGCTATAAGATAGAAAATTATTATTAGTKCTTTTAAAGAATGGATTGAATAATTTTGGACCATCCTTTTGCATACATCCTTAGTCCTTTTATTCCAAAACTTAAGGATCTTCTCGTAGAAAATAACTGAGTTTTAAAGCGCGGTCTAAAGTCGTTTTAGTCTTGTTCCATTATCTGATAGTCGATAGTTTTTTTAAATACATATTGTTTTGTGCGCGCTCTGAATTTGTCATCGTTGCAAAAAATAAAACAGCATTTTTTCGTTAAATTGTGGCTTGTTATTTTAAAAAATAGACAAACTTGATGTGGGGGGGGGGGGGGGGGAGGCAATGAAATGAGGGACTATGAGGGAATTAAGGAGGAAAGAGGACCTCAAAGAGCATAGGGTGTTAGGGAAAGAGGGACAAACAGAGAAAAAAAGGAGGAAAGATTGTAGGACAGTAGGATGAGAGAGAAACAGTAAGAGATAGAGTGGTAGGGTGTGGAGAGGAAAGGGAAAAACAGAAGACGAGAAGAAGAAAGAGTTTGACAGTAAGTTCTAAGCAGCTGAAGTTCTTACCATAAACAGGTGTTTTTCCTGGTAAAATAATTACAACAAGCTGTATGTTGGGGTACGTCTGTTTTATATGATTAAGTATAGGTTCAACCTTGAAAAGAAGAAAATCACGATAAGAAAGCTTTGAGTTAAATACAAATAATTTTCATAGGTTTTCCAATCCAGACTCTTCCACAGTATCCCGACTTGACGTTCCGCGTTGACCTGGGTAACCGATCGGCCGAATGAGAGCCTGCGCTGCAGAAGAGTCATATATAAGAGAGAGATATATTACAACCACCACTCTCCATACGGGGCTCTTCCGTGAGTTTACAGCATACAATAGTCAACTCACATGTTGCTTTTTATGGAGGGAGGAAACCGGAGATCCCGGAGAAAACCCTTGTGGCAAGGGAGAGAACAACACATCAAACAAACTCAACTCAAATATGATCCAGTCTGAGCCAGGGCTCGAACTCAGACTACAGCGGTAAGTGGCGAGCAGTAAACCACTCATGCCACCCAAACCATTTTTTGGACATGCGYAATACAGTTTTCCATCTAGCACACCTTACCCCTCTATCTCTCGTTCCCAGACCCTACTTTTCCGCTGACAACAGAAGCACAGGYTGTGACACACAGGCCACCTTTCTGAAGGCCGGTTTAGACGGTACGATTTTCGCCTACAACTATCGTATACAACACGCTCGCGTCTGTCGTAGGCGAGTTGTAGGCTCGATTTACACGCTACGACTCGAGTTGTAGGATGGCRCGAGCGTGTTGCATACGATTGTTGTAGGCAAAAATCGTACCGTCTAAACYGRCCTTGAGAATGMAGATAACTTACACCCAGATTTAGTTAGAAAGACAGGCTCTTAATTTGGGACGTATGGACGAGACTGGTGTGACACATGAGAATGCGTGACAAGGTCTGGAACGATGTGACACATATTATACATAATATATTTACCTCTTCCTGATTACGGGCAAATTTACAGAAGCATGGCTGACCTCGAATAGGCATGCCTTGTTCTGCGCTAATTTTCATCAACATCAAGGAGAATTTTTTTAGCGTTTCTTCGTTGCAACTTCTTTGATTGGCGAAACATACGATGGCCCAGGTTCTGATTTCAATACCGTGGAACAGTTGTTTCCCTTGCATGGACCAGACACCTTGAAGGGAAAAGAAGAAAGGCACTGTTAGGATTTGGAAATATTTTTWAAAAATCTACCAGTTTTGGCTGTAATCACAGAGTGGGACAATCACGAACGGAACCCTCAGATCCATGCTAGGTGAAAAACCGAAGATCGAATTGGAATTTAGAAGTTGATTTTTGCTTTATGAACGGCTTGCTTTCGTATTTGCAACGCTGTCTGGAAGAATGATTTTGCGAAGGAGTGTAATAACAGTCACAACAACAGTTACAACAGTTTTTATTTCCACGAAACATATACATAAATTGAATGAGTTATAAATATTTTGGGAGATGCAAGAGAACAACCTCAGAGGTTAAACAAGCTCTTACACCCTTAAAACGAAAGTGAAATAAAGACAAGAAGCAGAAGCAAATGCGCGCAACAAACTGCAAAATTATACCGACTGAACGCAGGCTATAGAWCAACAGAACTTACCGGCCCTTGGAGTTACGGCTTGACTTTCCTGGGGRAAAAATTAAAACCATCTTTTTAAAAAATGTACATTATATGAAGTTCAATTAACGAGTCTTTCTGTAGAGGTCAACTTAAAGAATTGAAATTAAAGCAAATTACCTTGCCGCCAAAGATAAGYTTTGGTGGAGGCAGAACACGACCTTTGAGCTCAACCATTCTGTTACTTATCGTTAATCCAAAGTCTTTAACAAACTCGTCGTCAGGAAAATTGGCTTTTTTAACCTGCGAAATTGAGATAAATTCAAGATAGAAGTAGAAGGATATGTTAGACGAAGGTTTTGTTGTGCGCCCGTGCTGAGCGCGCGTTTATCCTGTAGCCAGTTTAGGCTGTGAAAAGCTCACCGCGGCACGAACACGGTCGTAACACGGCAAGGTATACATCAGATCAATCACATTGCACGAGAAAAAATAATGGAAAAAATCCTCCAATCAAAATTCTAGAAAACATCAAGGYCGCGCCAAGGCACGCATACGGCGCCGACTTTTTCACGGTCATACGAAAACTGCGTGCGCACAGGCACGGCATGGTATCGTATCGCATGGAGACGATGGTCTCCCATAAACCAATCGCTGCGAATGACAACCAATCAAGATACTCGGAACCGTACCGTTAAAGTTTTTCAACGCGCATATCCTCGAATAGATATAAAAATAATCAGATAYGTCGAACCAAAATCGAAGAAACTATTGTATACAGTTGTACTTACAAGCCCATTGATTTCTTTCTCTCTTTCGGGTGCAGACCTTGCTGTAGCTCTGATCATCTTGGATGTCTGTACGTCTGTGAGTTTCTTCACGCAACGCTGTCCTGCGACAATGTTACACACTTCTAGTGGTAGGTACGTATGTCTCTGCTCTTGTCCGACTTGTAAACACGGTAAATGAGGATATCTACCGAAAAATCAGAAAAAATCTTTAGGAAACTTTGATGTCGGTAAGTGCTCTACCAGCAAAGCAAGAGGTTTACTTCGACGATTCCATCCCCCGTGCTTCGAGATTCCCTTTGAATACATGTTACTATAGCTGTAAGTGGAGCACTTATGGAAGGAGTGCATAAGAGAACGTTTCTACGTTTCGTGTGAGTGGGAAAGATACTGTATTGAATTACAGCACGTACACGGTACGACATGCTGAGTAGTGGCATTAAAATGGCTTCCCATTGTCTTTCAGTAATTCGTCCAATCACAACGCRTAGTCACGGCTACGGTACATACATAAGATATTTCCCACTCATACGCTCTAATACTGCTCTAATACCCAAGATGTCGTCCATCCTCAGGGGTCGCGGAGGGGGTGGGGCAAGGGGGCTGCCGCACGACCTCCCGCACAACAGTCCGATCCTCAAGCAACTCATCCAACCGGGTGACGGTAAAATAAATGAATACGATCGCCAAAAGATCTAGATAATGTGTCCGTAATATAAAACTCAGTTTTAAGCCGGGAAAATTAACATATTTTTGTGTTCTGCAAATTCCAGCGTGCTTTATAACCGCCCATATACGGCACGCGCGCACGTTGCGTTCGTATATGAAACAGGATTTCTCTGTACAGTTCATCTTACCTTAATTTCTTATGATGTTTTTCTTCAAAGTACTTAGCGACTGTAATAGGAGTAGTGTGTCCTGCCTCGGTTATCAGAGGGAACTGTAATGATTGRGCAGGCAGCTTGGTGACGTTGATGACTCGGTATTTGCGTTTCATTGTACCACAATGGTTGATTTCGACTTTCAATCCTTCACGAAGAACAACGAGAAAAAATTCAGAAACAAATTATTATATGCAAATCGATATCTAAATAGATAAATCACTGAAACACATGAATATTCTACACAAAAACTGACTAATCGTGAGCAACAGAGTTTAAAACAGACTGCAATATTGTATCAGTTCTTTTCCTCTTAATTCCCTTCAAGAAAGAAAAGACAAATCGGAAAGAAAATGGAGATAAAGGTACATTTACCTTTGATTTCTTTGGTAAATCTTAGCCTTTCTGCATCGCTAAGTGTAGCCCTTTTCTCGAGTTCGTTTTCTCCTTTTCGCAATACCTCGCTCATGAATTCCACAACAGGTTGACACTTGTAGAAAGCAGTAGCAGAAACTGGAAGAGGAAAGTGTGATTACGATAAGAAATATACTTAATTTTTTACTGATTGAGGCCATTGGTAAATGGTTGAAACGTCTAATTATCAAAGTTATTGGTTTGAACGAAACCAAAATTTAAAAAACCCTTGTCTCTTCCGCAGTCCCTTCCATTCTTTCCTTTCCCTTTCTTCTTTTTTTCTTTTCCTTTTTCCCAACTCTTCATGCCCCACCTCTCCCTCCCTTCCATCCCCTTTTCCCTGTCCTTTTTCATTTTTTCCAAATCCTATTGATACCCTGAAATAACCTCTGGGCTGATCTAAGTCAAGGCATGGCTAACTCACGAACTGAACCCTGAAACAACCTCTGGGCTGATCTAAGTCAGGGCACAGCTAACTCACAGATAGAACCCTGAAACAATCTCTGGGCTGATCAAAGTCAGGGCATGGCTAACTCACAGATTAAACCCTGAAACAACCTCTGGGCTGATCTAAGTCAGGGCATGGCTAACTCACAGATTAAACCCTGAANCAGGGCATGGCTAACTCACAGATTAAACCCTGAAACAACCTCTGGGCTGATCTAAGTCAGGGCATGGCTAACTCACAGATTAAACCCTGAAACAATCTCTGGGCTGATCTAAGTCAGGGCATGGCTAACTCACAGATTAAACCCTGAAACAACCTCTGGGCTGATCTCAGTCAGGGCATGGCTAACTCACAGATTAAACCCTGAAACAACCTCTGGGCTGATCTAAGTCAGGAGGTGATAGGCTACTGTATAACTACTGATCATGCAACCCACAAGAAGAGCTCCTTCAATAACCTTACCATCAATGTTAAGCATCATTTTCCACTGTGATGGCCTGACACTTTGATGAAAGCCAAACCAAACCTCTCTCCCACCCTCCAAAGGAAGAAAGTACAGGTCCGGAGGAGAAAAGAATGACCTTCCAACTGGAGTATATTTCATTGATGGCAAGTGCCGCAGCACAACATCCAATGCCTGAATAGCTTCAAAAGGGATTTGATTGCTGAGTCCTTCAAGTGCTTGYTGTAGAGCAAACATGCTGACCTGTGATGCCCACTTTATTACAACCTTTGACATAAAAAAAAGATGACACTCAAATGAAATTTCAGGGGGAGATGCAGGAAGGTTTTTTAGGGAGGGTGAATCATTTATGATCAGGTTAAACAGATGCAGCACATCAAGTAATTCTCTATGAAAAAGATCATGACATCAAGTAGTTTTATATCACTTAAGAGGTCTTTCTTGAAGGATGGAAAAGTCTAAACTATACTAACCCCAAAAGTGTGAAATCCTAGAGACAAACCTATTTTAGGATATATCAGGATCATCAATCCTAACTACAATTATATTTATATATGTATATGATCAGCCCAGTTTCATACAATATTAATTTTATATAGATAGACACACAGAAGCACAGAAAACATGAGAGAGAAAGATGGTGTTTCCAGTTATTCCATTCAGTTGGTATACCTTGAATTTTTTGTCCTTGTTGTTTTCTGATGCTAAAATCACTTCAAATTCAGTCTAAAAGAGAAAGCCATAAAAAGTTAATAACAAGACCAAGATCTTTGCTTTGGGCATAATGCTCACCCATTTCAGACCACATGTAATTCTTTAGAGTATCATTTCTTTTATGGTGGTGCAAGAGAAGACACATGAAAATGGATACAACCAAAATAAAGATTCTTATTCTTAAGAGAATGACACATAGTCTGAAATAGAAAAATATTACACTACTGTAAATGCAAGGTAAAGATGTCTTATACACATACAACAGAATAATTACTAACCTGTCTAAATTAGATAGATAAAAATAAGTAAATAGGAACCATAAAGTTTGAATGAAAATATACTCACAGGTTTTTTACCAATGGACAAAGGCATTCTGCAGTACAAATTCTTACGTCCATCAAACACAGGTTTCAGTTCTCCAAAGATTTTACTAAAGCTCTTGACCATAGTTTCTATGACATCCCTGTTGACTCTTCTTGGGCACTTATCAGGATGTATCGACACATCATAGTGATGTATGTCCCCCTGGGGTAGGGATACTGGGAAAAAATTGGCACGAAGAGCAATCTGTCTGCCTGTGGTTCCGTGGTTGGGACGTTTAGGAGGGTTGAAATCCCCACCAACACGATTAACTGAAATCAAAAGCGAATTAATCATAAACAAAATTAGTTAATCACAAAATTGGTAGGTGAGACGGCTTTCGGCCACTCTAGGAAAAATGTCACATTACTGATTGGCCGCTTTTGGCCACTCTAGTAGTGAAAGGGTTAATCAAGCAAATACTTCCTCCATAGGAGGTCTTTGATCAGGGAGGTCATGACCTCTCTGCTTTGGATGACCTCCCAATCATATGCAACTCAAAAAGGATCTAAAATCTACCTAACTATGTTTTCTATTGTTATTTAGCTTTTAACTGTGACACAATTCGAATGAAAAACAATTCGGGTCCAAATTAGTAATTACTTCTACAGACATTGTTCTGGTTTTTCTTCGTAGCAGGATTTTCTGCTCAAATATATAACTGTTTGAAGGTGGAGAATATATCCTGGCAAGATTGGGCGATGTTTTGTGTGATTGGACCCGAAAATACGTCACAACTTAAAAGCCCTATAAGGCTTGCTTTTTAGTTTTGATTTACTTCAAGAATAGTCATAAGCAAAATGTAAATATACGTAAATCTTTCTCAGGATCTTTCGCTTTCGATTATAGCACAGACTTTCTAAGTAAAAAAGCCTACTTACTTTAATCATAGTGTAATACTCTATAACTAAATGCCCTCTCAATAGAGTAAAATAACCATTTTTGTTGACATCAAATGTGCGTGTCGATAACTGTGATTGTATCAATTACAAATCTGTTATCATAGCGTGAAAATATAAATATATAATAATCGAAATAGGTTAACTACTTGAAACGTTATATAGTTTACTAAAGAATATAAAGCATGACTCAAAAGTCTTAGCATTCATTTTATACAATAGATCAAGTCCTAACTAGTGTTAGTAGCAATGAACGTTCAGTGTGATGAGTCACGAAATTCTATAACTGTTGAATGTTAGCTAAAATCTTTGATTTTCCAGCGAAATTCGTCTCACAACAAAAAGATAAGCATATTCCAGTGAATACAAAAGAAATATTCAGGATCACATAAGCGAGAGACAACCCCGAGAAGAAACCTGACTTTACTACTAGTACCAGYGAACCAGCAACACTATGAAAGCGGGACAACAATAAGTCACGACTGAATACAAGTACGATTCGAACTAAAAATAAATTTCTTTGTTTTCTTAGCCGGTAGTGGTAGTCAGAGTCATATATCTTAACACACAATTGTTCGATCACCGAACTACCAGTTCAAAACAAGTTGAGGTTAAATAAAATTGAATATTCAGGCAGTTTACTAATCAATCAATATCCATGATTCAATTTAAAAAACTTACTTGGATTACTGGAAGCCATGATAAAATCTTCTTCTTTAAAAAAAAAAAAACCAGTATATGTTATTACATAGTATTAGAGCGAGATCCAATAACGTAACATTGTGTTTTGACTTCGTTTATTTGACGAGGGCAGCAGAAGAAGACGCCATGTTGGTTTGGTCTGTTGACGATGGCTTGCGGACAGACAGACAGGCGGCTTTTTTTGAAAAGCTATGACGTATTTCCGGTTTGTTTTCCATGCTGTTTTCATGTTCTCTTCTTTTCTTCCTTCCTTCTTTCCTTTTTCTTTATTTCATTTTTTTTAGGTGTTTATTTTTTTTAAACGTGAATAAATCCTTATATAAAACCCTGTTAATTTTTTTGAGATCACAATGTTCTCTGTCTTTAAGTCTGCTAATTATTAGTCCTACCTTAGATGGCTGATCAGACTTTCAATAGTATCTTTCATTGCATGTCTTAAGATTTGCATTTTAAAAACTAAAATGTCTTCTGACAAAGAGTCAGGATAAGAAAATGAGAAATACATCCCACATGGGAAAGGCATGACAAGGAGTACTTACTGGTGCCCATCAGTGACATTAGCTAACAAACTTGGCGTTAACCTTACATGTCCTATGATCAAATTATATTTTGGACAAGCATCATAACACAAGTTTTTAGAAACAGTTTTTGTAAAGTAGCAAGTGACAGTGTTGCTTTCTACAAAATTTATTGGAGTTGCCTTCGTTACAATAATCAAGAAGAAACAGTGGAAAGAAACGAGGACAAATAAGGTAGATATACATGTCCAAATGCTCTGATTGACAGTYATTAAGCAACAACAGCACACCACTTTTCATAACCCCAGTGCTTGTTGGTGCTGGTCGCTGTTGTTCATTACCACTGACCCAATAGGACAGTCAGTTGATCCGCTAGAAACACACGTTTCACATTATAATATAGTTGGCCTCTCTGGTCTGTTTTCCTGTTCTCAGTCAACAATGTTAGACACATCAATAATTGTRGGTTGAGCTTTATACTGAGGCAACAGCTCCAAGTTTGTTGGTCCGTCTGTATATTGCACTATGACTCCCATGTGGTCTACCCCACAGCTCACTTCTAGGACCACTCCAGGAAGAATAACCTAAAGAGGACCATGAGATGGTAATAACAAATCAGTATGAAATGGGAACAATCAAACAATACTGGGGTAAATTACCTGTTTTGGTGTCCATTGATCAGTTTCTTGGCCCAACCCAAGCCGACCAAAGCTTCCTCTTCCCCATACAAATAACTTTCCTGAGGCTAATAAAAAAATTATTATTAAGACAAATGCAAAAAGATTACAACTTTTTTTGACATCATCCGATGTCATTATCAAGTGAGGTTAACTAGTGGAGTAATAATAATAAAAACAAAATGTTCATTAAGAAACTCATGTGGGATCCCTGTGGAATCATGAATTACATGTACTGCAGGGGAAGTTAGTCAATGTACCTGTTACAACAGCAGTGTGATCAAGCCCTGTGTGTAGTTGAGATATTTCTTCTCCTATTTCATCTGCATTCTTGATTTTCTTAGGTGATTTACTTGATGTTACATTTGGGCCATGGCCCAGTACTCCATATCCCCATGTATATAAGGCACCATCCTCTTTAAAAAATCACATTTCATCACATATGACAGAAAACATGACCTAAAGTGACCATGTGATGTGTCCATTCAAAATGGTTGGACAAGAGATAATCTTGTACATTGTGAGTCTAAGTACTGCGTTTGTACCATGATAATCAATTCAATGCGTTGTGTGGTTTCTGTTGTGCCATTTTTGCATTCTCAGTCATTTGCACTAGCCATGCTCATGCAAAATAGTCAAAAATGATTTAATAAATCATTGCAAATAAAACTAAACATTTTTACACCTCTTCCTCTTCATACCAAAGAAAGGTTGATAACCATGTTGCCTTGTGAGTTTTCATGCCAATGTTTTGTGAATAGTGAATCTCACTCACACTGGCAGGCTTTCTGTAAACAGTGTAAACGTACCTGTCGTTAAAACTGAAAAAGAACCAGCTGCTGAAACGTGCTCCACCTTTCCCAGGTGACTGAGGAGAGAAGCTTTTGTTGCTATGGATATCTGACAAAAAAGTTTGAGAATATGTCTCACCTTTTGCAAAGCTGACAAGTTTTAGTCCCCACTTAATGACCCTGATTTGAAAACTCTTTTTCAGTCGTTTCATCTAAGGCTCATAATTTACCATTACACAATTTTTAAGAACATGTCATGTTCTTATTTGATATCCGAGCCCATCCCACACGGCTTATTGCCTCATCTATCTAGTACTACTTTTTCGTGGGATTGCCAACTCACTAGATACACTGTGCTGACAAGGCCCAATACAGGCCGAAACAGTTGTCCATGATTTCTAGTTGAGCTGGCTCATTTTTTACATGACTTGAACTTGTGAAAGGCTTGTATGACACTCTTCTTCAGTTGTTTCATCTAAGGCTCGTAATTTACCTATTACACATTTTCTTATTCGATATCCAAGCCCATCCCAAATGGCTTACTGCCTCATCTATCTAATTTGAAAAAGCTCATGGCAAAACAAAATCATAAGGCCACTCCCAATAAACTACTGGTATCACTAATTTAAGCACCCCCTAAAGTGATTGGCAATAAATAAAGGTCTGCTATGTTTTCCCACCCATCCCCTTCTGATACAGCTATTTCAAAAAAGGTTGAAGGGGCAAATGGCAACAGGTAATCAGGTAAGCAATAGGTGATAATTATTGATAGGAGATAGGTCATTCCAAGATGCGAGGAAAGCTGGAATAACTTGTGTTTCTCATTGTTATTCTTGTAAATAACAGAGATGTTGTTGGTGAGATATTGAGTGTGGTTTGTAGTCAATGAAACCATTTAAAACACCTCTATTATTTGTTTTTGGATGTATGCCCTCTGTGCCTTTTGGTGGTGCAATCGCCAATCACTGAACGCCATTTGCAGTTCACCCCTTCAATGTTTCTTGAAATAACTGTATACATGAATGATTCATTAATGCATTGAAACATTAACCTATAATACACTATGATGCCTGACCTGTTTTTCTTCAGTTTCTACTCCAAGCTGATCATATTCTGAATTACCCCAGGTATATACTTCTCCTTTGTCTGATCACATGAAGGAATAATTCAGTCACTTGAATGACAAGTTAGTAAAAATATAGTTCTTCAGATTAAATTCAATGTAAGACACCAACGGTGCATACTGTGCCAAAAACTATGAGGCCCTTAAAACTTTGTTGGAAATTTAATGTAGCCTGAGAAAACAGATGTCCTTTTTCTCTGTGTCGCCCCTGCTGAAGGTGCTTTATCTGGGGATGCCATCAGGGAGCTAAAGGCAATCTGTTTGGCTAAATTTAATGATCTGATGGAATATGGGAAAATATTTATGGATAACACATATGGGAGGTCAATTTGATGGCCAAGAGGATGGGAAGGAAGGAAAAGCATTAGTGCCACATCACTATTGCAGATTACTTATCAATCTCACCTGATACAGCTATACAGCAGTCTACAGAAGAAGCTACATCCCTAATAAATACATCTTCGATGCTGCCCTTCACTTGCTTTATACTTGTCTCATCTTTGAAGTGTCCCAGACCTATATGAAAGCATAACAGTACATATTATCATGGACTGCAGAATGAGCACTTGCATTGCAAGACTGTCCTAATAATGGAGCAGAAGCCACTAGAAAAGCCTACCTGTTTGTCCATCAGCACCCCATCCACAGGAAAACACTTTGCCTGATTCTGTTAGGAATATACTATGGTCCAGCCCACAAACAACCTAGTAATATCAAAAAGATATACATTAACACTTGCATGAGATTTGTAAGCAGCGAAGAGGCAACTCCATCCACTGCCATCTTCTACTAAATACCAAAAAAATTAAAAAATTTATTTAATCAATTTGTAATCCCAGCGGTTTCCTTTATCTTTTACCTTGCCTTAATTACTTGCACAACTTCCAAAGAGCAAAGATGACATATTAAACCAATGCCCAAGAAGTACAGGAGTGAGAGAGAGCCTTTGGAACCCAGGGGGACATCACTTTGGTATCAAAAGAAACACACACCTTRATAATATTTTCTCCCTCAGGCATGTGGAGTTTTTGAAAACTTTTTAACAGTTTAGTACTGCCGTCTCCAATGCCACACTGTCCTTGGCTGTTCCCACCAATAGCAAATGCTGTTAGAATGCAAGACATCTTGAAATGTTAGAAGTTCATCAAAGGAAAATGAAGTGAAGTGAAAATTTTACATGTGAATATTCATTTTTTTCTACACTGTCCACAGGTAGCCTAAGCTTGGTTTCTGTGGTGTCATGTAAGAACTGGTAGGGTGGAAAATCCTTAAAATGGGCTAAATTCCAAAAATAATCACACAGAGCAAAAGAAGTGCTATGCAATGATCAGGTAAATTTTCAAGGCTTTATTTCACGTTTCAATGATTTTATTGAAATTTTTGAAGAATCCCCATACCTTTCGTTATAACATGACATCACAGAAACCAAACTTGGGCTACCTGTGCACTTTCTTATTTGAATTTACCTCCTTCCTTGTCAGTAAGTACAAGGATGTGAGAACGACCACAAGAAATCTGCTTTACTCTTGTATCAAGAGATTCAACAGGTAATGCTACTGAATGAGGTTTTGAAAAATCATCTGATAAAAACATAAAAAGACAAACTTTAATTTATACATGTACATCAATCATATGTTAAGCTTGCAAGAAAAATGTTTTGAAATAATATTTAAGAAAAATTATGTTATTTCTAAAATGCAAAGATTYCTATACATTTACAATGATAATAACTATAATGATGATGTTGACAATATTTATTGATTAAATAATCCTACTCACTATGTTTAAAAAAATGAAAATGTATTATCAATAATAGAACATTACAAAATGAATGCTAAACCTTTAGAACTTCTGTCAAATTGTAGTGAAGAATTCACGCCAAAAATCCAAAGTTCACTTGAATGTTGTTGAGAAATAACAGTGAAACCAAATCCACACCCTATGTGAGAAACCTAGATAACATAATTTTAACATGCAATCATTGATTTATTAATAGAATCTAAACAATAAAAGAAATGACAAATGGCCATGTTGATTTGTATTTAGRTGATAAGCAATGTAGAGCCTGTGATAAACAGCATGCATTGTGGTCTAGCTTGGGTACAAACATCTTTATATTAGTCAGTCAGTCGGTCCGTCAGTCTGTCTGTCTGTC